AAATTTTCTTTCCCTGAAGTAGCTTTAAGATTTGATTTTGGTGTAGAAACTGATGCCGCTGCACTTGCTATGGGTCTATTAGTTCTTCAGGGTAAGGAAGGACAATCTTTGACCATGTGGCCAGTTTTGCCACACCTAAAGCATGTCCCAGAAATCTTGTAGCAACCACCCTTATGTCTTCTACCATATTTTGGACAAGGTAGTGTAGAACTATTTCCTTGATTGGAACTATTTGATAACCCCCGGATTCTGTTTCTTATTCTCTGAGTTGTTTTGGCCTTTCTTGAAATTGAACCCTTGCCTTTTACCCATCCAATCAGCCACCGGTGCCTTGGCCTCCTTTAAAGCTGCAATGTTTGACTCGGACATGAGAGCTCTATCAATAACATCCACATTTTTTGTCAACTTAAGAACATTGACCTGATCGAGCACTTCAACATTGAGTCCACTCTCAAATTTTCTGGCTTTCTTATAGTCAGAATCTAGCATATGTGGAGCGTACTAAGCAAATTCCATGAATTTAGCTTCATATTCTGCCACGAACATAGTACCCTGCTTCAGCTGCTCAAATTCAAACACTTTATAGTCACGGACACGCTGAGGAATATATTTTTCATAAAAAGCTTCTTTAAATTGAGCCCATGTCATAGAACCATTATTGTCTCGAATAAGTATCCACCATCGTCTTGCTTCTTCTTGTAAAGTGAAGGTTGCCAGTAAAACTTTTTGTGCCTCTAAGCACGGGAAAACTTCAAACAACTTTTCAGTTTCCAAGATCCACGCCTTGACTTTCAAATTCTCAATACCTGCCTGAAAGGTTGGTGGCTTCATTTTGTTGAATTTATGGGTTAGAGCTATAATGTCATCATTGTTGTTTGGCTCAACTCGCACTGGTGGCAAAGGAGGAGGTGGAAGTTGTTAACTTCGTTGTTGCTGTCTTAGAGATTCTGTCAATAACTCAACCATTCTTTCTAATTGGTCTATTCTTGCATTTGAAGATTTTGAATCATCTGCATTTCTTGCGTTCTCCATTGGTCTAAATGTAAACATGGTAATAATATAGGAAATGCAGTTCCCGTAGTCACATTTACATTAGATATGCACATAACAATGCCGCACACACTCACACATGTTGATGCAATGCCCTAATTTCCCTTCTAGGACACCTTATAACTCATTTGGATGCAGATGCTGGATAACTCGGGCTCTGATACCACTCTATCACGGCCTACCCCCCGCCCCAAGGGATTAGAGAAGTGACTGGCTAGTAATCCAAAATTACCAAAGCCCTCCTTAATAGTAATACAATAATAAGGGTTGGCGGAAGCCTATCAATAATAAAATATGACGTCCAATGAGCTGTGAAGACTTAAATAAACAAAACAACCCTTATATATACATATCCACATAAGTCCACTCTAACAACCATAAGTACAAAAAAAAAAAAAAAATTACATAAAGCACTTTATCACGATACAAAAGGGTGAATTCTAAACCAGCCATGAAGCCTTGAAACTTAACCCGATTGGAATCTCGAAGTAAGGCACAAAAGTTGGCTTGACAAAAAATAGAGTTCAGGTCGACGCCACTAAGTCTGATCTTGCACTTGATCACCTACATATATATATATATATATATTATATAATGGTGAGCTAAAGCTCAGTGAATAACAACTCTGTAAAGGGGCTATGAATAATGTCCTTACAGTATTTAAAACAGTAAATTATCATTAGTGAATCAGTTTCTTATTTCAGAATCATATTGTAATCATAATAGTTATATGCAGTACATCTATTAGCAGAACAGTATAGTAGGTCTTAGAAGACCGAATAATCATATATGATGGTCATCAATACAGGAAACAACAGTTTCAAGGTCTGGAACTAATAGAGATCTCTGTAATAGTAGCAGTAACAGTAACAGATGCTATGGATGCCATGAATACATTTCACAAATAGGACAATCATTCATTTACTTAGAAATCATCATTTCAGAAACAGAGCATATTATAAGTCAAGAAATACTTATAATTTGAACATATCTTTATAAGGTTGTTACTCACAGTTAGCTTCCTGAACCACGTGGCTAGAGTGTGGCATTTGACCTATACAAACACATTCAAGCACAACATCTCAAAACATGTTCAATTTATTCAGTTGATTCTTAAACCTATTCGGTTCATTCGTTACTTGTTTGTTCGATTGTTTCTATTTGTTCTTTAATTTCTCCTGTGCTCATGCTATGCATATGAATGTGAAATACACGCAAAAACCATGCAAATGGAGACCCGAAAGTCAAAAAATGGAGAGAATGTAAACTGGTTTGCCTTGAAAACCGCATGTACAGAACCACCACCATATGTGCGCTCGCACGTGCAATTAAAGCAGTGGCAAAACTGGAACATGGGAGGTTTGGCCGCACGTGTGGGGCCTTAAGTCCCACGTGCGGTCTGGGTTAAAGTTCAATCCAAAAATCTGTGTAAACTTTGGACTTTAACCTCTTCAAATTAGGGTTCAAGTTTATGTATTTACAACTTAAAGGGCCTTAAAAACAACTTCGAATATGGATCTCCAATATTAAATACAAATCATAACTTTAAATACAAACTCAAATAGCCAATGGCAAATCAAATTCTTTGGAAAATAATAGAATCATGAAACATAACTTAAAGATCTCCAACTCATGCTTATATGTAGAAATTCCTTTGAAATCATGAAAGGCCATGCAAGAAAACAAGTTTATGATCATGATTTTCATGAACTTATGCCATGCATGTTCTAATCTTGAACTAATTCCTACAATTCCTCTCATTTATGTTCATATAGGTTCTCAACTTTAAACTTGTCCTTACAACTCTTAAATAACCATGAATCTATTCAATTTAAGCTTTAATCTTTCAAGATGATGAGTGTATAAGCCCTAATTTCATGACATTAGCAAGAGAGTCTTATCTTAAAGGATGGATTTATAAAGATCTTGTTTGATTCCTCTTTCCCCTTTTTTCCTTTTTCTTCTACAGCTCTCTAGGGTTTTCTCTCTCCCTCAAGTGTCGACTTCAACATAAAGCACTAACTCTCTCTCTCTCTCTCTTTCTCTCTTTTACTCGCCTCTTTCTTTTCCATTGGTCACTAAATTAATATTGTACCTATGTTGTCGTTTGGCATTGGCTTTTTTGAGTTTCGACTTTTTTAGCTTGGGACTAAAAAGTTCATTTGATTTTTTTTTTATAACTTTTGTGAGAGAAAAAATGAAATAATTATAGTTTGGATGTGACATTTTGTCTTATTGACTTATTTAGCCTATTTTATTTTTTTGTGTTTTTTAAGCCCAACTAACTTAGCCAAACGAAAGCTAAATTAGATTTACACTAATAATTCATCATAACTAAATTTAAATCACATGATGTCCTTAATTAAATCATTAAAAATATAATTTAATTTAAACTAACCTTAATTATACATATGTGAATTAGGCTCTAATTATCTATCCAAATAATTAAATTTTCTTGCATATAAATTACTGATTCAGATATGTTTAATTCTTGTCCTAACCATATTTATTCACAATATCACAATTTATTTCATACAGATCACATAATTGCACATAACGCATATTCAATGCAAATCATATGATTAACTGAATTAATCAAGGAGGTGGTTGTTACAGGTTGGCCCCTCGATCGTTCTACCGGTCGACCCATCAGATGACCACCTCAAGGCAAAAAAGTGTGAAAAATTTACACTGGCCAGTTAATTGGCCGGAAATTCACCCGAGTGTTCGCCCGGTCGATTGGTATTCTAATGAAACTTCAAAAATCTCTGTTGGAACACTTGATATCAAATGAAACTTTGACTCGAATTTTTACTTAAATTTGATTAAAAATCCGATGCATTGTTGGAGATGCTCTAATAGAGTAAGCAAAATTCTCACTTGCCCACCAAACAACTTAGGATTTTTAAACACATTTGTTGATTTTTGGGTCTAAAAATAATGAACTTGATCTCACTTGACATGTCTTATTTGCAATTAAAAAGGCTGTGTTTGGAGCAATTCTGAAAACATGATTCCAGTGCATTTTTCAATGTTTTGTTTGGTTTAAGTTTTTAAAAATTGATTACAATGTTACATTTCAAACTCATTTCAGATCATGTTTGGAGAGCAGAGAGCTTTTTGAATTTTGAATTTTGAATTTTGAAAAGAGTGAATTGAGTCTACTCGGTCATCCCCCGAATGTCTGGCCAATCGTCCGACTGGTTGATCAGAATATATATATATATATTTTTTGTGGGTGGGTAATTGGTGGGCAATGGGAATTTGTTTTTTATTTTTTTTAACAAAAAATAATATATTTTTTTATATTTTATATAAAAAATATTTTTGGAATTTTAAAAAAATTTAAATAAAAAATTATTTTTATCAATGATTATTTTTTTGAATTGAATTTTAAAAAGAGTTTGCTTATGAGTTTTGAATAAAATTTTGAGTTGTGTATTTAGTTATAAGTTATAAGTTTTTGAATTAAACAACTTTTCTAATTTTAAAATTTATTTAAAAAATTCAAAATTCAATTCAATTTTTTTTTTAAACTCATAATCAAATAAATTTTCTCTTTTCAAATCATAATTCAAAAACTTAAAAGCTCAATATAATTTACAATTAAATCGTAATTCTAAAATTTTACCAAACATTATCTAAGTTTTTCCACCACCCCCCGCCACATGTGTGTGGAGTTGATGGGAGTGGTGATTGGAGGGTCTCCATCACTCCTCTTTTTTTAATTAAATTCTATAATCCAAAATTTGCAAACAATGCAAAAATAATTTGAATGGGCGCCACCGACCCGGTTCGTTTCACTTCCAGCCTTTCATCTTCATATTTTCCCAAAAAAAAAAAAAAAAAAAAAAACCGCCTTTCCTCTTCAGCCAAAGCCACAGACCAGAGAGTAGGGTTTACCGATCGACCAACTAGGGTTTTTCAAAACCCTAGCAACACACCACACCCTCAAAAGCCATGGCTCGATCTTCCAGATCCTCTACGACGCGTCTCCTCTACACCCTATATTCCTCCCCCAAGACGACGCCGTCTCCGTCCCCATTCCCACCACCACCGCCATGCCCATGCTCGTCTCCGATCTCTGCTCTTCTCGCCGGAAACTTCCATCTCCGGCGGTTCTCTTCCGGCAGCGCCGCCCGGGTGAAGGAGGAGAAGGACGCGTGGTGGAAGGAGTCGATGGAGAAGCTCCGGAATATCGGAATTTCGGCGCATATCGATTCCGGGAAGACGACTCTGACGGAGAGAATTCTGTTCTATACGGGAAGAATTCATGAGATTCATGAGGTTAGAGGGAAAGATGGAGTTGGGGCGAAGATGGATTCGATGGATTTGGAGAGAGAAAAGGGGATCACTATACAGTCTGCAGCTACTTACTGTACTTGGAAAGGGTATCAGGTATGGTTTTTTTGACTGTTTGGTTAGATTATGTTGAAATTTTCAGACATGTGAAAATTGATATTTTTTAGCCTTTGGGTTGTTTTTGTTTTATACCTCAATTTTTGTTGCTGGGAAAATGTTAGGATGTTTGGGAAGAAAGAAAAAGTGGGTGGATGGGAAGTGGGTTTTTATGGAAGGTTTTTTTTAGTTGAACGATATTATTGGAGAATTTTTTTTTTTTTTTTTTTGGTGTCGGGAAAGATAGTTGTGTTTTTTTGTGGTTGGATGTGACGTTTGTGAGTGAAAAAGTGAAATGATTATGAGGTTGGATATGATATTTTGTTTGGATGTGTTTTTTTTCTTTTTTTTTTGCAAAAAGTTTGTCTTTTTTGTGAAAAAAATAAAAAAAAACCCAAGTCTGCCGTTTGGTAATTTTTACACTTAAATGTTCTTTTAACTTACAGAAAACATGTAAAACGTTAAACTATGTTTATGTTTAATTTTGATGATGAAGAAACAAAAACATGTTTGGTAGACATGCATTTTAAAATTTTGTTTCGAAAGGAAGAGAAACGGGTGGCTGGTGAGAAGTGGTGGTTAAAGGTGCTTGTTGACTGTCGGAGATGGTGGCTAGATGGTTATCGAATGCCAAAGCTGGTGCAGGAGGTGGTTGCTGGCTGTGAGAGGTGGAAGTCAAAAAGGGGGCTAGTCGCCCAAGGTGGTGGCTGCCAGTGGAAGGTGGTTGGTGGTGATTAGAGGTGATTGGCAACGACCAGAGGAAAATGTGGGAGGAGGTCACCAGCGATGGTGGCCAACCGTGAGGGGTGGCCAAAATTGTTTTTTTTTTTTTTAACAAATTGAAATTAACTTTTTTATGGGTACAAGAAATTAGTAAATTTTGAAAACTTTTTATGAGTTTTTGAAAAAGAAAATAGATACCAAACGAGTTTTTGTTTATAATTTTAATTTTTTTGTAAATATAAACATTACCATACAGGCCAAACATTTTATTTTTAGGACAAGAAACCTTGGATCAACCCAAAATTTTTAAAATTTCTTTTAAATTTTGGGAAAATAAGAGAGTGAAAATTTGAATCCGGAATAAGTCTACCATGAGAGAAATTTTGAATTTTATCAATTCAACGAACATATCAATACAAATTTTTTTTTTTTAATCTTAAAAATTTGAACTGCTTTAGTCAGATAATGGAGCTTTTCACTATCACTTATATATTTTCAATATAATTTTTCGCTTAGTTTATTTAGTTTTTTGGAACAATGTTTCTAGTCTCAACATAGATTTTTCTCAGTTTCACTAATTAACAATTTATTGAAAATGTTGAAACAGGTGAACATAATAGACACTCCGGGTCACGTTGATTTTACCATTGAAGTTGAGAGGGCTTTGCGTGTTCTTGATGGTGCGATTCTCGTCCTTTGCAGTGTTGGTGGTGTGCAAAGCCAGTCCATTACTGTTGACAGGCAAATGAGAAGATACGAGGTTCCAAGAGTTGCTTTCATCAATAAACTTGACCGAATGGGGGCAGATCCATGGAAGGTTCTCAGTCAGGTTGGTTAAAATCATTATGATAAATTTTTGAATTTTAGTTATTTATTTTTGAAATACAAATATGCTTTGTGCAGTGACAACTGTATAGTGGCGCATCCAGTCTACATTTTCCTTGTACTGTACTCAAAATGTTTAATTAAAGCCTTACCAAATGCTTGGATGATAACAACTTCAATTGCTTATGTTAAATGCAACAAGTGTATTTCCATAGACAAAAACATGGACTATGTTGTCAAGCTCATTAGTGTAGGTTCATGTAAAGATTAAAAACTTCCAGAAACTATATAATCTTAGCTCTGAGCATTCTTCAAGGATCTCTGTATTGAGCATGTTGCATTAGTCTTATGACACTTCTTTTTTATATTGCAAAATTCACCTTATTTAACCTACTTTCAGTCATACATTTGCTGGGTTATAACTGTGGCCGAAACTTAGAGCTCCACTTGATGGGAGCTTTGAGTGGCTTTTTTTTTCTGATCAGCAACAAACAAAGATATATTAAAGCTCAAGGCCAAGAAAAATGAGGATAAGGCACCCTCTACAAGAACGATGGAAAAAAAACCAAAAAGAGACCAAAGAAAATACAAAAAGACAAGCAACTACTACTACACAGTACAAACTGACACCCAATCGGGTAGCAATCAAGAAAAGCGGAATCCCTCGGAATACTGAGCTTGCTGAGGCCCAAAAAGACGCCAAGTATCTCACCCTATCCCATAAATAATCTATAGCCCGGGGCAGAAAAGCTTTGCTTGAAACCCGTTTGAGCATATAGCCCTTTGCAGGGCTCTGTAGAAGTTTAGAGAAGGTTGCTCGATACGCTTGAAGGCTGCTCGAGCGCGTGCTGCAGGTTTCCACAAACAGCAGGTCCAAAGAGGGTCGCTCAAAGCTTGCCTAAAGGGTGCTTAAGTAGCCCTTTTTAAAAATATAAATATGCCATAATTATTTTTTTACACAACTATTTATATTATACGACAACGGGTATTCTATTTTGATAACGTTAACCTACGTTACACGGACTCTCTGTTTTGTGAGAGGTACTCGTGTCGACACGACACGACACGGGTACGGGTGCGGAATACGGCCGGGATAAGGCTAGATACAAATGGATACGACTGAAACTCAGAGAGAGAGAGAGAGAGAGAGAGAGGTGAAACTCACATTTGCTAAGCAAGTCGAGTGGCGAAGCAAGATTGAAACGCGAATCCTAGTCGTGAGCTCAACCGAATTGAAAGAGATCATCGCGAAGTCGATTTCACCTAGAAAATGATCCTAGGGCTTCGATTCCCCTTTGGTCTCGGTCTGTGTGTGTGTGTGTTCCCTTTCTCTCTCTCAGTCTGTGTTCTTCTCTCTCTCTTCTTCTTTTTCGTCTTTTCCTCTTTGTTCTCTGTTTTCTTCTTTTAAATTAGATTTATATTATATAATATAAATTAATATAATAATATATAATATTATTCATAATACATAATATCATTCAGCTAAAAAAAATTATATAATATAATATATCATAAATAATATAATTTTTATTCCTAAAATAAAAATAATTTATTTTATCATTTATAAGATAATTTATTTTATACCTTATAATATAATATATCATAAATAATATAATTTTTATTCCTAAAATAAAAATAATTTATTTTATAATATATAATATAATTTATTTTATACCTAAAATAATTTTTATTTGTTATTTATTTTAATAAATTTGTTATTCCTTAACTTTTTTTTTAAACTCATCTTCATATAATAAATATATTTTAAAAATAATTATTTAATGTATCTTCGTATCCGTATCCAAATTCGAATCCATATCCACGTTTCCTCAATTTTTAATTTTGAAGTATCCGACACCTAGATATGCATCCGCATCCGATTCCCACACCCGAGTCCGTATAACGTGGACGTTAACACTCTATTCTGGTGCCCTAACCTTTCTAGGGACCTAAACCTACACATAAAGGTGCTGCAAAGTTCATTGAATGCTTTTGATTGCTTGATAATGCTTTTCTAGATAAAATATTTTGTAAGAGAAACCCATATACTCGCATTGCATCCTTGTCCTGGCCATCAGAGCCGTATGAAATGGAGAGCGGATTTTCTTTTGGAGATCAATCCCATTGAAGAGTTGTTTGAGGGATGGAGCCACTGATAATGTAAGCAAGGAAGATATTAAGGCTTGAATGCATTAGGATGGGTCGTAAGTCGTTATTTCTCTTGGGTCTGTGCTTTGATTTCTTACATTGTGGCATTGTGTGGTTTCCATAATTTTATTCAGGGCTGGGCATTGATTAGGTTGGGCCGGGCTTGTACTACATAATAAGAACATATGCGACATCCCAAGCCTGGTCTGATCCGACATTAGACCTAATCTATCTACCCCAAGCCCAACCGCAAAAGAACTTTTAAATCCCAAGCCCGGCTACCTAACTCGGTATATATGAGCTATTATTTTTTGGGTAAAATCCATTTTATTTTATTGTGGTTTGCTCTTGAAGCATTTTACCTCCCTAACTTTCGCCGTCATGTGGTTTGGTACTAAACCACATAGATAACTCTGTTAACAGAAAATGCAAAAAGACTTTCATACCCTTCCTACTATAACACTACACAACTAACTGCTAATGAGTAATGACCAAAGAAGCATGGACACGGACACGTGACACGACACGGATACGACACGGACACGCAGACACGGCAATTTTTGAAAAATATAGGACACGACACGTGGGGGACACGGACAAAATATATAATTTTATATATTTAATATATGTCATATATATGAACATGTCATTCTAAGACAATAAATAAATACATTATAACACTAATTTCTATAAATTAACGATATTTTTCCTTTATCATCTTATTCTAAGTTATTTTATTCAAACTTATAATTAGTTTCGTGTGTCTAGTCGATGGACACGCATGTCCTTCAAGTGTCCGAAGAGTGTCCAAGTTTTAAATTCTTTATAAAAAATCAAGACACGTTTGGATGAGTGTCGGACACGTGTCGGGAGAGTGTCTGATGAGTGTCGGTGTCCGACACGGACACGACACGGATACGCCACCTTTTTAGAAGTGTCCGTGCTTCTTAGGTAATGACCTATTAAGTTTAAGTCCACTAATGACTCCTCCAAGTGTATCAGACTGTTAAAGCTTCCATAAATGCCAAATTTAAGTGTGTATCTTTTATTTTCCTCAATTCTTTACTAAAGGATGTTACATGTTTTTTTACTCAGTGTTATTGTACTTTTTCCTCAGTTTTATTTATTTTTTCATGAACTATATGTCAATTCTATTTTACTCAGTTCAACTCCCCTAGGTGCTAATCTAACAACTAACCACTAACTTTCGTTGACTTAGAAAAAAATATATCTGTTTGCATGAGTAACAGTTGAACAAAGTTGTTTCAATATATTATGCATTTGACTTTCTTGACCTTTATTGCGTGCTTTATTCAGCTTGGTGTAATGAGAAGTAAATAAGGATTAAAAAAAAAATTCATGGTTATATTGGGGTTTGGATGTCCTATGACACCATTTCTGCTTTTTATTGGGTATTTTCCAAATTCTGATTAAATTGTTTTGTTTCTAGGCAAGATCTAAGCTTCGACATCACAGTTCTGCCGTGCAAGTTCCAATTGGGCTGGAAGAGGACTTTCAGGGTCTTGTTGATCTTGTGAAGTTACAAGCCTATTATTTTTGTGGTTCCAGTGGGTCTGCTTCATATGCTCTATGATCTGTGTATTTTATGTTATTATTTTTCTATCTCGTTTGCTTATTATCTTGGCTTTTGGTAGTGAAAATGTCACCGCTGAGGAAGTACCTGCCAATATGAAGGAACTAGTTGCAGAAAAGCGGCGTGAACTAATTGAAGTGGTTTCTGAGGTTGATGATAAACTTGCCGAGTTGTTTCTTGCTGATGAGCCTATATCATCGACTGAGCTTGAGGTATGCTAGACAATGAAAGGCTCGATTCTGTAAGGAAAAAAGGTCACATAAGGTGGATTTTCATGAGTGTCTTGTAAGCAATATGAAATAAAATCCTGGCTTAAAAGAAATATTTACCTGCTTATTAGCCATTTTTGCTTATATCTCAGTGGCTCCATTTTGGCCATAGTTTTATTTTTATTTTGCTAATATCAAGTTTTATTGTCTTAATGTAATGATCTCAGTGGGTTCCAATGCGGATTTACTGGATGGCTTGTTCTAATTATTGATGATACTGTAATCATTAATGTATTTGACATTTGGAATGCACTCACTTACTCCTTTCTTATTGCTCATGCTGCATAATTTTGGTAGTAGCCACTAAATCAGTTCTATCCAACAGTAGCAAGATTTATCATTTGAAAGATTCAGGAAAAAGAGATTAAATAGGTATTTTGTGGGACCTAGAATTTTTTTTCTTCATTATATAATTTTTCTCATTTTGAAATCAACACTTTGATTTTTATTGCTGCATCAAAAATCATATCTGTCCAATAATAGTAGATTTGCCTATTAGAAAATTTAGGAGAAAAAAATAGTAATGTTTTGTTTGAACAAGAAATCACATTTTCTCCATCATGATTTTCCATCATCTTGAATTATAATGTAGATTTGTAGCATTAAGTTGACAAAGGTAATCACTATGGTATATAAGGGGAAGTATTTCATGCAAGTATGTGAACCTTCAGGCCAGGACAATATCATGTATTTATCTTCTAAAACCTTATTAGTCTCATGATAGATCACTCTGGTAGTGAATAGAGTAAGGTTTTTGATAATTTAGAACATACTAATAATCATTATTGTTACTTCATTTTTCCAAAACCTATCTATGAGTTTACTTTTAGTTTATTGTAATTTATAAAGAAATTTATTTGTAATTGTAACAAGTTATATCATTGGAGGATATTGGAGGTACTGATACTATGACCAAAAACTGATACATATTTTTTTTTGATAAGTAATGTAAAGTATTGGAAAAAGAAAAAGAAACAATGCCAAATCAGGCGCAACCTTTGTACAAAACTGAGGAAGATCAAAAAGGCTCAATGCAAAGTGGAGTTCAGCTATGAAATATACAAGAATAAACGAGAATTTAAAAAAAAAAAAAATCCTTTACACAAAAAATGAAAGCTATGTAAAAGGTGTTAAAATCCACCTACTCTCCACCTACTTCACCCACTTAAACCTACTCCACTAAACCTAACCCACTACACCACTACCACCTCACCTACTCCACTAAACCTAACCCACTATACCACTACCACCTCACCTACTCCACTACACCACTACCACCTCCACTTCACCTACTCCTTACCTACTACACACTCACCCTCTTCTATATATAGGAATCATGAATCATTGTAATATATATCAATATATCAATCAATAATAATACATACAATTTATTCTCTCTCTTTCTCTATACATTATTTCTTACAAAAGGTTCATCTTAAGCTTTAAGGAAAAGTATACCCAGTTTAGCCCCCATTGGATCTGGGAGGGCTAACCTAACCTTTGATATTATTTGCACAAAGTGGCTGCCCTCAGGTTCAATGGCTTTTGAATCCTTATTTTAGACTTTTAAAAAGTTTGCCTATTTCTTCCCTCCACAAGCAACACATGAGCCACTATTCAAGATTTCTTCTAAAATTATTGGATATAGTTATTAGGTTATCTATTAAGTGGATCCCCCTTATTGAATGTCTTGCTATTGCCTCACTTTGTGCCAATTTGTGGTAGAATATTCATACTAGAGTTTTATCCAAAGTTGTCTGATGGCCTCTGCTAAAATATATACCTAATTCATATTGTGCTTATATGCTTTTTGTCTTTATTTTTTGTTCTTTGAGTAGGAGGCAATCCGCAGAGCTACTATAGCGCGGAAATTCATACCTGTATTCATGGGTAGTGCATTTAAAAACAAGGTATGATCTGATGATATTTCATTATTTCTTTCGATAATATGTGTATTGTTTTTCCCTTTCTGGTATTTCCGCTCTGCATTGCACAATTAGGTGACCTAGAATTGCTATTTAGTGTGGTTTGTTTTCCATTTTTCGTGTAATTTTTCTAAGAGACCTTTTTTTTAATTTTTTTTTTTAAAAATTAACTCTCTACCTAATGGTTTCCCCACTTCCCTCTCTCTCTCTCTCTCTCTCTCACACACACACACACGCACACACGCACGTATTTAATTATATATTTTACTTTGATTTTTTCTCGTTGATGTGTGGTAGGCTGTGAACTTTCTTTCTTTACTTAATAAGATAAGTAACAAGAGTTATTTTGACTAAAAAATTGGGAATACAAATTAAGAAGAACAGAACTTGGAAAAACAAAATCAGATGGAACCATACTTTACAAAATACAGACACTAGCCAACCAAATTAAAGCCTGCAAAAAATTGCTGCTAATATGGGCCTTTAAAACTGAAGGCTGGGCACTGCTTTGGTGAGCACTTTGTTGCTAAACAAGCAGATCTCTTCATCAAAATATTTATGACATCCATTGAGGAAGAAAGATCATCAAATCCATGTAATAAATAAACACTTCGTCATTAAATTCTTCGGGTATGTTTGGTTTGCATTTGGGAGATGAGTTTTAGAAAAAAATTTCTAAAAAATTGTTTGGTTTGAGTTTTTCTCAAAAAAATTTCAAAATCACTTTCTCTCTCTTAAACATCAATCAATCACTTTTTCTCTCTCCTCTCTCCTTTTCAATCACTTTTTCTCTCACACACATCTACTCAATTTCTCCCAAAATATCAAATCATCCCAAACTCCCAAAAAAACAACTCTCCCAAAATATGCAACCAAACAAACCAAAAAAATTTCTAAACTCTCTCCCCAAATTTTTTTTCAAAAACAACTCTCCCAAAAACAAACCAAACAAGCCCTTCATCTCTCATAAAATTCTTTTCCTTCTTCTCTCTGTTCCTTTTTTTTTTTTTTTTTCAAGGTTTTAATAAATCTGATATGTTATATACCTGCTTTTACAACTATGAGATGTCGATGTTTAACTTCTGCCATTTCTGAACCACAGGGAGTGCAGCCACTTCTTGATGGAGTTCTTAGTTATCTGCCTTGCCCCATTGAAGTTAGTAACTACGCTCTTGACCAAACTAAGCAAGAAGAGAAGGTATTTTAGTTGAATGTCTATTTCTTTGAATACTTGATTATATTTTTATTGAAGTCTGATGAAGGAACTAAATTTATTTTCTTTTGCGTTAACTGCTATTAGGTTATGTTGTCTGGAACACCAGTTGGACCCCTTGTAGCTTTGGCTTTTAAATTGGAAGAAGGTCGTTTTGGTCAGTTGACATATTTAAGGTTTGCGTAAGATTTTTTTTATTTAATTCTAAATGCTTGTGCCATTTCTATGAAATATGTGTGTGTGTGTGTGTATGTGTTTATGATTGAACAATTATGCTAACTGCAATTTTTGTCAATTGAAGAATTTATGAAGGTGTCATTAAGAAGGGTGATTTCATAATCAACATAAACACAGGCAAGAAGATTAAGGTGAGTTAAGATCTAAGCATGTAAGCGTCTTTAGTATCTGACATGCAAGCTTGGTGCAAACTTTTGCTGCTGAAAATTTCTTTGAAATTTTTTTACAATATTTATTTGTTCGAGACTTCACTATGAATCTCCATTTATTCTAGGGTGTATATTAGGCAAAATTTGAAAGAATTTTTTTTCCCAAATGTGGTATGTTGGATGGGTTGGTGTTTGCCCATTTATTCACATCTTGCTAGATTGTAGAAGGCCTTTTTGACATATTTTCAGCTCTAATGAAGTCAATTTTGGGAAGGGCAAATATAATATCACCTTATTCATTTGAATTTGGGTCTGACTGCTTAAGATGCACCTCAAAATGTTGACCTTTTAAAAAAATGATGATAGCATGACTATGACATGCTTCACTCTGTTGAAAAGGAGCAAATTCTTATTAAGAAATATGTTCATGACAGTCTTTTCTTTCATGCTATCTATTTTCACTGTCTTCTTGGATGTTACCTGATTTTCTGCTTACAGTGCTGAATTTCTAAAAATATATTATTGCAGGTGCCCCGTTTAGTTCGGATGCATTCGAATGAGATGGAGGTTTGTTTCTCTGCTTGTAGTATTGCAATTGTTGGATCACTCTCGATGCTTGGGCAAATGGAGTGAATTTTTCTGGAATCAAATAGCTTTTTCTTTAGTTTAGTTATTGCCTTACGTGTGGTTTGTTTACTGTTATCTTTTTCTTGGGGTCTTTTATACTACAGGACATTCAAGAGGCACATGCTGGGCAAATAGTAGCTGTATTTGGTGTAGATTGTGCTTCAGGTACCCATCTCCCTCTCCATACATACATGGAAATATACACCGGGTCTTATTGAAGTCTGTTGTTTACTTGGGAATTATGGTAAACAAGTTCAAGATGGACATTGTTTAGTCTCCCCCTTAAAAGATTTATTGTTACACTATATTAACACAATACAGTTTTTGCATTGTTGGGATCTGAAGCTATACAATTTTGTCCTACACTGCTCATGTTGGTCTTTGCTCAGTTTTGATGTTTTCATTTTTATTCTTATTTATTATTATTTTGTGTTTTCAGGAGATACTTTTACTGATGGGTCAGTTAGATACACCATGACTTCTATGAATGTCCCTGAGCCAGTGATGTCATTAGCTGTTTCACCAGTTTCTAAAGATTCTGGAGGACAAGTGAGTAATTTCATTCAAATATATATATATTTAATTGTTGGATAAGCTTGAAGTTAAAGGGTATCTATTTTGTATCCTTTGCAGTTCTCAAAAGCATTGAATCGCTTTCAGAGAGAGGATCCTACTTTTCGTGTTGGTTTGGATGCGGAGAGCGGCCAGGTGTAACTTTTAATGTTCATTTCTTGTTTAGTTATTTTTTAAAGTATTCATTCCCCAATTTCTGAAAAATATTCTATCATACCATACCCTGACACTACAATGCTCTTATGGGCAGACAATTATTTCTGGAATGGGAGAGCTGCATTTGGACATATATGTCGAACGCATCCGGAGGGAGTATAAGGTGCCAACTCTCTCACTGGTTTTACCATTATGGATTTTTTTAATTACTTCACAATGAAAATGTCATTCAGTTATTCACGATCAGTTTATTCCTAATATCTTTCTTTCATTTGTCCTTATGCAGGTTGATGCAACCGTTGGAAAGCCTCGCGTTAACTTCAGAGAGACCGTTACTCAACGTGCTGAATTTGACTATTTACACAAGAAGCAAACTGGAGGGCAAGGTCAATACGGAAGGGTGTGTGGGTAAGCATAGAAGATACTCCTTAACTCTTCATGTTCTTATTGGTTAAATGAGTGTTAATTTACTATGGATTTAAATTTGTTATTTAAAAGAAGAAGAAAATGATGAATAACCAACCATCTCATTGTTTTTGTTGCCTACAGCACCCAAAACACCCTATTTATGTGCTGATATTGACAGGGAGAATTTTTTTTTTGTTGGGGGGGGTTGCACAGTAACAAAGCAAAATGGAATTAGCTTTTTGAAAATAATAATTCCTTACGTAAGCAATATGAAGAAATTAGTAAAAAAAATTCAATACATTTATATGAGTGTTTTTTTTCATACTTGTTATCACAATTATTTCAAACAGTTTTTGAGCTGTATAAATAAGGATCTTGTACTGTCTTTAAGATATTTTATTGGTTGATATAATTTATATAAATAAAAAATCTACTTATATGGTTTTTATGATAAAAAACACAACAAATGACGTTTACATATCAAATCAATAGAGTTGATGGTATTACTTTAATATGTGAAATAGTTGGGGTCATGTCATAAATATTGTAGAACTACTCATGAAATAAACGGTCAACAAAAGAATTTTCAAAAATTTAAGAAGGGCCATGCTATTTATATTATAAAAATATTCTTAAATTAACGGGGTAATAGAAGAATTCTAAAACGCTTGGGAGCCTCCCACTAGCTTCTTCCATGGATATTGATGATATCAGATTGAGAACCATAAGCAGATCATGCTGAACTGCTCTTACCATAACTCACACAAGAACCATTATTATCATCATGTAGGCTGTTCATAGACTCCCTTGTATTTTTAAACTAACAATGTTCAATTGAGCCTTTTTCAAGGACTTGCAATGTGCATTGACAAGTTTTTGCTTCATTATTCTGATTTCCCATTCCAAAGCAATTGGTTATTGATATGTTGCAGGAGTTTAATCATCTGTTTCATGACCTAATGTGATTTTTCCCCATTTTTTCATCTCTCTTTAGTCTTTACTATCAGACTTCCTTAAAAAGCGATAAACTACTTTTTAGTGGCTCTCAGTAATGATTAGTGACCAACAGTAATTTTTGTGAAAAAGAGAATTTTCTGACCTGTAATATGTAGCATAGCATGTGCTCCAACAGCCATTTAGGAAACCAGGCTAATGCAAACCTAATCTTGGCTTTTAACAGTTGCACATTGTTTATATTATGTGCTGAACAAGTACATTTGTAACATTTGGCTTAAATAACTATTAAAATTTTTATTGCAGGTATGTTGAACCGCTTCCACATGGGTCGCCAACTAAGTTTGAATTCGAAAACATGATTGTGGGACAAGCTATACCATCAAATTTTATCCCAGCAATCGAGAAGGGTTTTAGAGAGGCTGCCAATTCGTGAGTGTTATGATTTCTTTTTCCTTTCTGTATAGATGTTGCATGCAAGTTATAGGAATTGATTGTCGGGGGAAATTAAGTTACTCTATCATTGTAGTTTTTTATTTCTTTTAATTTATATTATTTATTTATTTTATTTTTTTTGTTGGATAAAGGATATAGTCATGCTTGTCAGAAGTGATGCCAATAATATGATTAAAAATATATTTATCAAAAAAAAAAAAAATAATAATAATATGATTAAAAATATAAAAATTGATATATGTACAACATTTTCTCTTAAAATTGTAGAACATATATTGAAGGCCTCTCTCAAGCGCTGTGAAACATTCCATATACTATTACTACCAAGTTTTTTATTTTTAAATTGTTTTTGTTAGTACTACAATGCTAGTATACTACTCCTTGTCAGGGGTCATGACAACTATGACCTACTACTATTACTGGTATTGTTGTTAGTAATCGTGTTATTAAACAAAACACGTTAAGTCCAATTCTTTTTCTTCTTTTTTTTTTTGGATTGAAAAAATGTAAGTACTTTATTATTTGTAACATGGACCTGTTTGTACAGGGGTTCATTAATTGGACATCCAGTTGAAAATGTTCGTGTTATTTTAACTGATGGTGCATCACACGCTGTGGATTCTAGTGAACTTGCATTCAAGTTAGCAGCAATATATGCGTTTAGACAGGTATTCTTTACATCTGATATCAAGAGACAATAGTGAAAACTTATGTAGTGTAAAATGCCCATATCCATTGAAGCTTTCTAGCTTTTCTCTCTCTCTCTCTCTCTCTCTCTCTCTCACACACACACACACACATTTTTTTTCCTCTTTGGTTTGGGGGTTGGGGTTGGTTCTACTCTTTTCCTGTTTGCTATTAGAATTACATACGAGGCTTTTCATTTTGCTACTTTATGAAACAGTGTTATTCAGCAGCAAGACCTGTGATATTGGAACCTATTATGCTGGTGGAACTGAAAGCGCCAACCGAATTTCAGGGCACTGTGACTGGTGATATCAACAAGTGTGTATATTGTTTATTCTTCATAAAAGATTATCATTTGGGCTTTTCATCAACTTTTTGAACTGAAAGTGAATCTGTCATATAATAGGAGAAAAGGCGTGATTGTCGGGAACGATCAGGACGGAGATGATTCTGTTATCACTGCCCATGTATGCATGATTCCTCTCCTTTAATTATCACACAACTTTACATGTCTGCCTTCTTTCCAATAAAATGGTTGATAATTATATATCAGAATCGACTGCAAATATCCTGAACTTCATCGTCATGCAGATAACAGCATATTCTTTCTCGTGATGCTTGGATTTTGCATATGTTTGTTAGAAGTTATAACTCGTTGCAATAATGTTACATTCAGTTTGCAAATTGTTTTTCACATACGCATGAACTGTGATCACTAGCTCCTTTGTGTTTAATAAGAATTCTGAGAATAAGCACCAGGCCGCTGAATTTGCCATTCTGTCAGCTCCTTTGTCATGTAGGAAGTCTTGTCTGTAAATATTATTTCTAGAGAGTATATATATTAGAAGATTTCTCACAGAAACATCCGTTCCTTGATACCTAGTGAGAGAACAAAACAATAATGCTGTTAGCAATAGAAAAAAACAAGCATGGCAATCAGTGATCCAAAAAAGCAGATGGGTTTTGGAGAATACTTCCTACTAAAACCATTGTATTTCAAAGGTGGGCATGTCTTCCTAATTTAGGCCTGTCTTCAGATAGGCTTACTTTTGAGACACCTCCCTTTCGAGGAATTGGAAAGGAATTGCATTTTACCAACATTAATTTATGACCCTAGAGATTAAGCCTGTTGAAGCTGAAGGTAGACTTAATTGAAGGTAAACTTGGGTAGGGTAGGGGGTTATAATTCCTTCAATATGAGTATTGTAACTGTTTGATTCAATAGTGAATTGATTTTAGGTGTTGGGATCGTGGTTTTCTCCCTATAGTATAGAAGAAAGTGGGCTTCCATAGGATTTTCATGTTAAATCTTGTGTTTCGAGGTTGATTGCCTTAATTTGATGAGACTGCTAGAATTGATAATCAAATACCATCAATTAATTGTTTAATTAATAAATCCCTTTCGAGGAATTGGAAAGGAATTGCGTTTTACCAACATTAATTTATGACCCTAGAGATTAAGCCTGTTGAAGCTGAAGGTAGACTTAATTGAAGGTAAACTTGGGTAGGGTAGGGGGTTATAATTCCTTCAATATGAGTATTGTAACTGTTTGATTCAATAGTGAATTGATTTTAGGTGTTGGGATCGTGGTTTTCTCCCTGTAGTATAGAAGAAAGTGGGCTTCCATAGGATTTTCATGTTAAATCTTGTGTTTCGAGGTTGATTGCCTTAATTTTGATGAGACTGCTGGAATTGATAATCAAATACCATCAATTAATTGTTTAATTAATAAATTGATTATTGGAATTAACATTGAGCTGGAATGGAACAGGAATCTGTATAGCTTAGGTAATACAAGTGAGATGTTTTCAATTGAAGTGTGCAGAAATACTTAGCAGCCAGAGATACTTCCTGTATGTTTTTTAGGGAATGATAGACCACAGCCCAAGTTGATGGAATTACATCCTCTCTCTTGCATGGTGGGGCCCACCCATGTGAGGAGGAAATCTGTGGAACTTTTAACTTGGTCTGTGGATTCAGTGCCCTTTTTTATCCCCCCACAAAAGCAACTCCTCTCGCAACATAAAATAGTTCCTTCCAATCAAATTAAGTTCCAGATAACTAATAGTACCAAAAAACATAGAAACTGCTAGTCCTTGAAATCTTATCAGTTGAACTCTACATAAAGTTCCAAGACCATTAAAAGGAAAAGAGAAGGAAAACACTTGACGACTTCCCAGTTGACTGCAATTTGTGGGTTTTATTGATTCGTTATTTGTCTAGATGTAGATTTCAGTGGTACTGGTTTGTGGTTACATTTGTGAGCATCATCTTAACGCTTTTTCTCTAATAATAGGTTACTTTTTATTTATCAAAAAATAAAAAAATAAAAAAATTCCCAGTTTGACTGCAGGATGAGAATTTTTATTTACATCCCCATGGTTTGAGCGTATATTATATCACCAGCCCTGTGTTTCTTTTGACTTTCTCTGAGGATAAATGTGTAAGGATATTCGAGTATATAGGCCTGAGGTTTAAAAAATGCTATAGCATGAATTACTGTATCATGAGAAAGTAAAGAGCTTCATCAAGCATGTACTTGGCAAATTTGAATTTAGTTGCGTGTTGTTTCACGATGAGGAGGGGTGAGTGTCAGTGCGTGCTTGTGTGTGTGTGTATGTGTGAGAGAGAGAGAGGTGGTAACATTTGGTCCCTGATAGTAGTGAGATGAAAATCAATTATGTCCTATCCATTTGGATAGAGTGAAAATACCATTCTTTTGGTTTTTGTTCCCGTCCTCATTTCCCCTTTCATTAAATCAAATGTCTCCCTATGTGAACATAAGATGTTAAGAGGTTATGTCAATCCATTGATGGAGGCGAGGCCCCAAAACTTTGTCACATCAGAATTTCATATTTTCTGAACAAAAGTTATTATGAGCCGTGATATTTTTAACCAGGACCTATTTACTTGGTCAACGTTGGTCATCTTCGGCCTTTTTTGTTGGACTTAAATTCCAACGTTTCTGACGGACAGTGATGAGGTTTTAACATAGTTTATCATCTTTTCCAGTTTATCTAGCATTGTTTAATCATGGACTTGAGAATCGTGATGAACTGATGCATGGTTTTTGTCTTGACAAGTTTGATTTCATTTCCGTGATTGTGGCAGTTATAACCTATCTGCACTATTATTTGCTTCTGAAGAATCGGTTCTTGATTTTTCAGGTCCCACTCAACAATATGTTTGGGTACTCGACAGCTCTTCGTTCGATGACACAGGTGAAGGAGAGGAGCAATATACACACATATGCATATGCATAATATTTCATTTCTCAACTTGCAATTAATTGGGATGCCATTGATCTATATTGTTGATCAGGGTTTTAAATATCGTTGTACCGTTGTTCTTGATGTATTGGCTGATACTGTGGATATATGGTAGTATCGCTGTTCTGATACATATCCCGATGCCGTTATTTAAAAACCATGTTGTTGATGGTTGATTTTGCGCAGGGTAAAGGCGAGTTCACGATGGAATACAAAGAGCATGCGCCGGTTTCTCAGGAGGTGCAGATGCAACTAGTGAACACATACAAGGCAGCCAAGGCAGCTGAATAGCTGTGGTTTTGTTTGAAGGCCACACTTGCAAGGTAATCTAGGTCATGCCTTATACACTTTGATAGAGAGTCGCATGTATTTTTTATTTTTATTATTATTTTTATTTATGGTTCTAGATATCCTGGTATTTGTGAGGCCAAAATTTTGGTCAATAATTTTGAGGAGCCCAAATAATGTAGTTCAACATTTATTTGGTTATAGTGTGAGGCAACTGTACTTTCTGATGTATCACATATTCAAAGTATTCATAATTTTTGTTGTTGCACATAATACATATGGCTATAAATTTTCGGGTAAAAGTTTTCTTTTACTCCCTTGTGATTTTGGATTAGAGCATTTTATCCACGACGTTTAAATATAGTACGTAAAAACAGCTGTGCTAGAGGCCTCAAATTCGAGGTCTCGAATTTGCCTCGACAACATTTTTTCTTTTTTTTGGGTGGTGGCCGTGTGTTATAGTTTTTTTATTTTTTTAATTTTTTTAAGGGTGGTTTATGTGTAGGAATGTGTCAAAAAATTAGACATTCCACACCCAACTCATCGTATAAAATTATATGAAATTAATAAAATTTAATCAACAGCCTAATTAATCAGTCAATTTTATCACTCAACCAATCTAACCTAATTGACTGATCAGTTAAGCTGTTGGTTAAATTTTGCTAATTTCATATAATTTTGTACGATGAGTTAGTGCAGAATGTTTAGTTTTTTGGCACACCTATACACATAATCACCTGTTTTTAAAAAAAAAAAATACCAAACCAACATAACTCAACAAATAAAATAAAAAAAAATAAAAAAACCAACATAGCCCAACAAAAAAAAAAAAAAAAAAAAACTCAGCCTATGTAGTTTGATAAGGTGAGTGAATTAGGTTAGACTTTATCAAATCATACAGACTGAGTTAGTGCGAGATATCTAATACACATAACCATCCTTGCAAAAAAGAAAGGAAAAAAAAAGATAGAAAAACAAAAATAAAGAAAAAAAAACCAAACACAGCAAAAAGAAAAAAAAAAATTGAATTTCGAAGCAATTTCGAGGCCTCAAGCATTAATCATGTAAAAATCCTTTGTGATTTTGGTTCATTTTGTACGTTTTCTTTACCATTGTTAATTCTGTCTAAATTGACAAAATTGTTACGCAATGACTATTTTGATAGTTGGGCATGCAAAAAAGTAGGCCCAAGTTTGATGCAAAATGCCAATTATGCCATTTTTCATATTCTGCCCTTTTCAAAAGCCCCCTATAACTAACCCGCCCATCCCTTCCCTCCCACCGTACTCAACAGCCTGCACCGTCAAGTTGCTCCGAACCTTTCCCAACACCATCTCTGTCCTACGCTGCCACCTCCTATCACCTCAACCAAACTCTTTCTTGAAGAGGCAATTGTAACACTTGTAAGTGCAAAGCTTTAATTTAGCATTAATGATTTTATTGAGGTAAATGGCTCAGAATTGTTCTCTGGTTCTTATGAAGCCAACCTTTGCTACTTGACAACAATGAATTAAAATTTAAATTGCACCAACCCAGCAAGCTGGCTATTGCATCTCTGCACAATAAAGAAAAGAAAACAACAATAAAATGAAGACATGGTACCTGCTTGTCACAAGTAAATTGAAAGTTGATTATCTAACAATAAAAAGTTTATGCTTGGTTATCATTTTTCAAAAATACTTTTCAGAAAATTTTGGGGGTCCCTTCCCATTGGTCCAAAAAAACAATTTTTTTTTTTTTTTTTTTTTGAGTTTCCAGCCACCCCCAGGCCGACACGTGGCACTGGGGGTCACTGGGGGTCACCCCAACTGGGGGTCTGTAGCATTACTGATAAAGAAAAGAAAACAACAATAAAATGAAGACATGGTACCTGTTTGTCACAAGTAAATTGAAAGTCGATTATCAACAATAAAAAGTTAAACACTATGCTTGGTTATCATTTTTTAAAAATACTTGTCAGAAAATTTTACTTTCTTATTTTTTGTGTTTTTTTGTTTTTACTGAATTTTTTTAATATTTTGAGCAATTTTTTTAATTTTTAAACATACCTAACATAAATATACTTAAAAAATAAAAAAAATTGAAAAAAACCCTTTTAAAAATTCACTAAATGCCAAAAATACAAAAAAATACGAGAATTCAGTTCTTTTTTTTTGTATTTTTATGTATTTATTAATTTTTAAAAATATTTTTTCACAAATTTTTTACTTTTTAAATACATCTAAGTAAGGTGCATCTAAAAAAGTAAAAAAAATGTATAAAATTTTAAAAATATTCACTAAAAACAAAAAAACACGAAAATCAAAAAACTCAGTTTTCAAAAAACTTAATTCAAAAAACTCAAACCAAACACACTAAAAAGTATTCCTCTCTACTTTTTAATAATTTATTTTTGAAATTTATTTAAATTATAAAAAAATTTATTCAGACATAAAATTAATACCAAAAATAAAAAATAAAAAATAAAAAAATCACAAGAATGATATGGTTAATGCCATTATAATATATATAAATTTATCTTCAATGATATTTTGTTTTGAAGTGAAATATCCACAATGAGTCATATATTATTATGTATGATTTTTTTTGTTTGTATATCAGCACCTTTAAATTATTTTTGTCTCATAAGCTGTAAATAAAAACAGTTCCGATTGGTAGCTCAAAAATAATGAGGCTTGAATGGCCCAAGTCCAAAACGACATCGTTTTGAATTATTATTATTTTTTTTCCTCGTTTTTTCTGAAGATGAAGAAGAAGAAGATGAAGAGAAAAGAAGAGACAAGAAAGAGAGGAGGGAGCTGGGCATCATCATCAACACATCACCATCTTCAATCAACACCATCTTCATCAACACATCATCATCATCAACAACAACTTTTTCATCAACATCATCATCATCAACAAATTTTTTTTTTTCTTTTCTTTGTCCTTCATCTTCAAATCCAGATACACTAGAGATCATCAACAACAAATGAACAAATCAATGAAGATGGAGGCCTTCACCCCATTGATCACGACCATCTCCATCACCGCCATCTCTATTTTTTCTCCTTCTTGTCTCTCGCCTCGTCCTCTTCTTTTCTCTCTCTCTCTCTCCCTCGCCTCTTCTCTTCACTGTCTATATTCAAAAGCAAGAAAAAGGGAAAAAAACATAAAAATAAATAAAGAATATCCAAAATGACTTTGTTTTGGGTATTATTGAAACCAACTTTTTCGGGTTACGAAGTATTATTGAAATAAAAAATGCATCAAACATTCTACACATAGATATTTTAAAACAAACAAATACTTCCGGCATCTCAAATTATTTGTCGGGCACAAAAAATGAGAATTTATACATAATATATTTTTGTACCAATTTTTTTAGATTTTTTTCACCAATTAAAAATTTAATTTGTGAAAAAATATAAATTTTTGAGATGAGGATTTTCAAAAACTGTTTTTAATTGGTTTTTCATTTGCCTTTATTGAACTTTTTTTTTATATTTTAGTCAATTTTTAATTTTTTTTATACATCAAAATTAGATTCATCTAAAAAATTAAAAATATTTAACTAAAATATGAAACAGGTTCTAAAAATAAATAAAAATCTAAACAAAAATACACAATTTTTTTGTTAAATTTTCGCTTATTTTTAGTAATTTTTAAAAATATTTTAGATAATTTATTTTATTTTTTAAATATACCTTGATTAGCTACATTTAAAAAGTATTAAAAAATTGATTAAAATATAAAATAATTATTAAAATTAAACGAAAATTTATCTAAAAATAATCTTTAAAAAATTAAAACAAACAGAAACCATAATTTTTAAATTTTCTTTGTACCACTAAAAAAATAAATAAAACTCTCATTTTTATATCACCAATAGTACCCCTAAATTAGCCCTTTCATTCTTTACACCGCTCAACTTTGGAAGGGAAAAGTGAGAAGCAGCAGCAAGGAAGACGAGGGGTCCAACGCAGAGAAGGCGAGTGGTTCGGACGGCGGGAGGGGTTCGAACGGCGTTGTGGTCTGTGTTACCGGCGTGGACGATTGAACTCATTCTTCTCATTTGCCAAAGGTAAGTGAAAAACTCCTTTCTCTCTTTATATTGACAGACATGTATATGTATCTATATATGTATCTCTATCATCTCTATCATAATTTTTTTTTGAATAAACAAAGAATAACACATTCCCAACACAGTTTTGGTGGTTTTGATCTTCTAATTTAGTTGGGTTTGTAATTTTTTGTGCTAATTTGAATGTTGAAGTTCAAATTTTGGTCCTCTGTTTTGTCAGATTTTTGTTCTCTTTTTTGATCTTCTAATTTTGAATTTTGAATGTTGAAGTTGAAATTTTGGCCCTCTGTTTTGATCTTCTAGGTTTTGATTTTTGGGTTTTGTTTATTTTGCTACACGGTCTGTATATGGATACACAATTTTATGTTTGTGTTTGCAGATTTGTATTTTCTTTTTGGCATCTCATATTGGATATGATGTTTGGTTTGGATAGAATTATTGATGGCTTAGGATACTTCTATTTTAGAGGTGCTTGGATTGAGTGATTTGATGAGAAATAGTAAGAAATTAAGTGAAAGAGAACTCCTTTCTAGAAGTTTCTTGAATTATGAAGTTATGCATGATGGAACTCAAGGCTGTTAAAATATGTAGCATAGCAAGAACAAAATTAATGGAAAGGGGGAAAGCAAACTAATTTCTTTGTGATTTAGCAACGTCAATTAGTTCTTGGCTTTTGCTTGAATAAAGTATTTCTACTCTTTCTGAGAAACTGTGGCTTAGATAAAGAAACATGAAAACTTTTCCTTTATTCTATTAAAAATTTAATGCTGAAACAAGTAGTGAAACAAATCAAGTGTACATTTATTTTATTATATACATAAATATATATGACATGCACATAGGAGAGAAGGAAGCACCAACAGATTTGTTCGTGATCTCGTCATATTCTTTTCCCTATACATTCCTTTATATCCCCTGGTCAATTACTTTTCAGTTACCTTTCATGTGAACTAGATGTGAGCACCATGTGCATGTTCCTCACCTCATAGTATTTCTTATCATCTACTTATTTCCAATTTGATCTTTTGTGCCGATCATGCTTAGAAATATATACTTTTCTTCTCTTTTTGTATATTGGCACATTGAAACGATTTAAGAAGAGAAACTAAATTTGTTCCGTAACAAAACAGTTATGAAACAAACCGGTGTATTGCTTAACAGAATAGATTCCTTTCATATTGCCAAGTGGGTATTTGCTTAACAAAATATGTTTCTCATATTGCCAAGTCCAAACTGTATAAAGAAGAGAAACACAAATAGATTTTTGGTTATAATATAACATAATAGATGTATGAATATGACATACCACATTATTTGGCAATTTGAACTCAATTTTTCTCTTCTTCTTCTTCTTCTTCTTCTTCTTCGTTCCATTATTTCTCTGAGTGGCCTCAAAGGCCAACAATGCAACAAGGTTTGGGAAATCAGTTAAATCCATGAGCATTTTGTACTCATCTGCTTTTGATACATGTCCATTACTCACTTTGTGATCTGCAGATTGAACACCAGCATTATAACCATTCCCCTCTTCTTCATTGTTGCTGTTGTTTTGCTTCTTCTCCTCTCTCAGTTCTGTTGTGTCCTTATGGTTTATTTCACAGCTCTGACCATTTTAATGCCCCTATTCTCATTACTGTCTGGTAGAGTCACAAGTTCTTGAAGATTTGGTGCCTCAGTTGTCGCCACTTGCTCAGGTTTTTTATGGTGTTGCTCCTTTCAAAACACTCAATAAATTAACCATAAGATCCATACTAGGCCCGAGCACCACATATATAAGTATACAATTATATACATGATACATCTTTTATGAATAGAAGAAGTATGGATAAGGTAAATCCTATTTAATAATAATGACTTTTGGAAAATCGGTATTCTCCATAACAGTACGCAACTTAGTTGCGCGCAGTGGGAGTGGGAGCGGGAGTGGAGAATCGTAGTCATTCCAAGAATCATTGGTAGGGAGTGTTTGTATATATGTTAAATAATATAATATATAAAAATATATTGTAAGATTATATATTTTTTCTCTAATGATAATGAAAATATATGTTATAAATTTTAAAAAATATATATAAAAAATTTAAAAATAAATATTCATTTTAAACATTCATTTTCAGGTCATTTGGCGCTAAATTTATGAAATAGCTAATTTATATTGAGTTGAAGATTGAAAATAGGGCATAAGCCTCTTTTGACCATGCTTGGAATTTGTGGTTTAGATATGCTATGTTCTGTTTACTCATATTGCTTTCTTAGTGGATTTATGTGTCTTATGTGTTTGAAACTTGTGCTAGATTCATGAAATAGGTAAATTTAATGAACTTTTCATATGAATGGCCAGTGCTAGATTTTTGAGACTATTCCAATGACCTAAGGAGACATTTTACCTTGCTTTTTGACAAAGGGTGTTTTTTGATTTGAAAAACTTGATACCACAACCTTACTCATCATTAGAGTTTACCTGATGCTGCAATTTGAAGTCATCAAATTAGCATTCCTAGACAATCCTTGGAACTTTTTATTTATTTTTCAGTTACCACCATTGAGGCCTAAAATGAAAGTTTCAATTAGAGGCTTTTCTTATTTTTGAAATAACATCTATTAATTTTTATATATTATAAATTGTTGTGGAAATTCATTTTACTTTTTGATTCTTGTAGTTATAATTAAAGAGGTTTATTTACAGGTTTTTTGGCCTTTAGATAATGATTTGTTTGAAGATGAGCAAAGAAAATACTTGTTCATTATCATTACAATCCATCATCATTTATATATATTAATAATAATAATATAAGGGGTGGGCTGTATAGTTGGTGGTTGGATCAAAGAGCACTTGTTTCTCTCCAACAAAGATGAGAAACCAGTGCAATGTGGACCCAACACAAACAACTCTTTTCTTCACTGAAGGGCTAACCCACCTTCTTTGATCCTTTAAAATTTCGAACTTTGTTTTCTTTTCTTTTTTTTTTTTTTTTCCTTAAAAAATGTAATCTTTGTTGTTTTGTTATATTTGTTTGCAGCTTATATGTTTCACATATACTTATTGGCTATCCTTTAGGGTATATCTTAGAAGGTAGAAATGCTATGAGTTTGTATTTTGCCTCAATTTTCATGGAGAAAAGATACGGATCATGAAAAAATTTTCATGAAACTGATCATGAAAAATTTATGGCTCTTGGATTACTTTGGTTAGTGTGTGGTGTTTTATTTTAAGTGTAATCCAAGGGTCATAAATCTTTCATGATCATTTTCATGAAAGTTTTTTCATGATACCTAGCATTGCTCATTTTCATGACAACGCTCAGTATTAAAGTAGTCAAATTCATTACATCTCAAGCTGTTCAAACCACTCATTCATTATTCTTCAATTTTGGATCAAATTATAGCTTGTTTAGTACATTAGGACTTTTTGAATATTGTAATTTTCAAAATTAGAGGTGACTTTTGTGTTTGGTATATCATAGTTTTGAGATCAAGCATTTTATTACTAATATTTTAATATTGTAATTTTTTTCATATATTTGACAGATTGGCAATGGATGGAACGTAATTTGGGGAGCGTTAGAGGATTACATTTTAAATTTTTGGATATATTGTCATGGGATTTTGTAGCTTGGAAGTTTTTTAGAATCATTATGTACATGTTTGAAGTTTCTAATTGTAAGGAATTTACTTACGTTTATGTTTAATATGCTACTACTTTTGATTAAGTTTATAGTTTGGATGCTTTGAACTATGTATTAATTTTTTTTTAATTGCATGTGTAGAAATGATGTACAGGAAAAGTAAATTTGGATTTGGATTATTTTTTATAGATTTATGAACTGAATAGGGAAATTGTCAAAAAAAGAAAAAGAAATAATGAATTTTTGATAACAGGTTTTTTAATTGTTAACTTACTTTTGGTGACAATTTATTTTGGTTGCCAAAGGTCTATGTGAAATAGTATATGAATTTTTAGCAACCAAAAACTTGATTGGTCCAAAAGATTTGGCATTTGACAACTAATTTGTTTCTGAAGGATGTTTTGGCAGCGCGTTCATACGTCGCTAAAACCTAACATGGCATTTTTAGCGACTAAATGTTAATTTATGGCTTTTTGGTGTTTGGCGATTGAATTTTTTGGTCACTAATTCTTTTATAAGCGTGGCCATAATTTATTTAGTCGTCAAATCATTTAGTGACATGGCTTCGGCAAACGGTTTTTTGAGTAGCTGATACTTTTAGCGATGAAAAATACACGTTGCTAAAAGTGTAAATTGCTATAATTTTTTTAAATTTTAATTTATTCAATTGAGGATGACTATTTTTTCCCTCCCCACTTCACCCCTACTAGGGGTGAGTATGGTCCGGATTGGACCGGATTTGAGTAAAATCAGGACCAATCCGTTATATACGGATCCTGAAAAATTTGAACCAATCCAATCCGTTTAAATCGTGAAACAAATCCGAACCAATCCATTTAAACACAATTGGATCGGTTTAGGACCACGGATTTACATAATTAAATAACAAAAAAAATATATATATATAACACTTTAATTTTATAAAAATATAAACATAGCACCATATTAATTTCACAATAGCAACATGTCTTTTCGTAATAGCAACAAACTGTTCAAGAATTTAAACAATCATAAGAAAACTAGTTCTACCATAAGTATTTAGACCATTATAAATTAACACTAAAAACTAGCAAATAAAAGTAATAAAAGAAGATACTATGCAAGTTTAGGTTTGTATTTAAGTTTTATATGAAATAAGAGAAGATACTATGTAAGAGGGTGTATACTAAAAATATAGACTATTTGTATACGGTCCGGATCGGTTCCAATTCGGAACCGTGTGGTTCAATCCGGAACCAATCCGTGAACTACGGATTTTTAATTTTTCAATCCGAAACCGAACCACAGATTCAAAAAACTAATCCAAACCTACTGGATTGGACTGAATTGGATTACAGATTTTACGAATTTCTTGCTCAGCCCTAACCCCTACATCCTCCGTCTTGACTAGGTTGGGTTTTCTTGCCTCATTTATATTTATTAAATATATTTATATGATATATATCATTTAAATTTTTTAATATGACAAAATTAAAATGCAAAATATTGCATTTACTATTTATTTTCATTAATTTCTTTTTCATTTTACATCTTTTGACTTTCATTAATTATGAATTACATTTGATAATATATTATATTATTTGTCTTATCCTTTGATATGATGAAAGGCAAGGGCGGAGGATGACAAATCTAGCCCTTTAGTTCCACCATAAGTATTTAGACTATTACAAATTAACACTAAAAACTAGCAAACAAAAGTAATAAAAGAAGATACTATGTAAGTTTAGGTTTGGATTTAAATTTTATATGAAATCAAAGAAGTTACTATGCAGGAGGGTGTATAATAAAAATATAGACTATTTGTATACGGTCCGGATCGGTTCCAATTCGGAACCGTGTGGTTCAATCCGGAACCAATCCGTGAACTACGGATTTTTAATTTTTCAATCCGAAACCGAACCACAGATTCAAAAAACTAATCCAAACCTACTGGATTGGACTGAATTGGATTACAGATTTTACGAATTTCTTGCTCAGCCCTAACCCCTACATCCTCCGTCTTGACTAGGTTGGGTTTTCTTGCCTCATTTATATTTATTAAATATATTTATATGATATATATCATTTAAATTTTTTAATATGATAAAATTAAAATGCAAAATATTACACTTACTATTTATTTTCATTAATTTCTTTTTCATTTTACATCTTTTGACTTTCATTAATTATGAATTACATTGGATAATATATTATATTATTTGTCTTATCCTTGATACGATACAAGGCAGGGGCGGAGGATGACAAATCTAGCCCTTGGTCATTTTTATTCTCCAGCAATGCTAGGTATCATGAAAAGTCTTTCATGAAAATGGTCATGAAAGATTTGTGACCTTTGGATTACACTTACAATAAAGCACCACACACTAATCAAGGTAATCTAAGGGTCACAAATTTTTCATGATGATTTTCATGAAAAAATTATCATGATCCCTAACATTTCTCTTTTATTCTCAATTCAAATCAATTATCTATTCATACTCTATATCCAACTAAGGAGTGCATTTGGAGAGAAAAAAAAAAATTAATTCAAAAATTCAAAATTTAAAATTCAAAAGAAATTAAAATTAAGATTTAATTAGGACAATGATACACTGTGTATAATAAAAAATTTCTTAGAATTTAACAAGTTTGTCACAGAAGAAGCTGATGGAATTGCAGAGAGAGGGTGAGAATCAAATAATTGTGTTGTTGAAAATTAACTTGTACCTGGTTTATCTACCAAATTTCACCTGCTGTGTTTATATAATTCACAACCCTTATGGCAGAAGTGGCTGTTGACCAAACCAATAACACCAAGAAAAAAGTAAAACAAAAATAAAATGAAATAAAGTCAAAATCAATAACAAAAAGATCAAATTTTTATTAAATATTTAGACATGTAAGAGAAACCAGATTGATAGTTCCTCACACCTTTTTCTTTGTTAAAGCATAATCTGAAAGGGAAAAAAAAAAAAAAAGCTCTAAATTATATCGCATATGTTCTGCTCTTTTAATTAGAGAATGACATGTAAACATGCGACGTCCTGACCTAATAATTAAATAGTAACCATAGAAACTTATATAACCTAATTTAAAACAAAAAAAGCACCTTAACTTGAATTCTAACAGTACCAACTGATTACTCTTGTCTCTTTTTCTGGCTATAAAGCCTCATCAACTCCTCCACCACTCCATCTATATCCTCCTCCCCTTTGATACTTAGGGTTTCACTCAACTCCCTTGCTTTGCTCCTCACCGTCTCCCCACTATCGTCAACCACCACCTTCTGAATCACCTCGGCCACATTTTTTCGATCAAGCACCCCATTCTTGTCCCTCACAGCCTCCATGCCAACCCCTATCTCCTCCACCAACCTGGCATTTACAGGCTGATCAAGGTGCATTGGTATGGCTATGATTGGACTTCCCAACTTCATTCCCTCCATCACTGAGCTCCACCCACAGTGACTCACAAAGCCACCAATGCTTGGATGCAGCAAAATCTTCACTTGAGGAGCCCAGCCTTCCACCACCATGCCTCTCTCTCCTACCCTCTCAACAAACCCTCTAGGCATTGCCTTCTCAACACTTGTATTTGCTCCCATTGGAAACCTCACAACCCATACAAAATTAACACCAGAAATCTCCAATCCATAAGCTATCTCTTCAATCTCATCCTCCGATAAAAAATACTCGGTGCCAAAACAAACAAACACTGTGGACCGCCGCTCCTTCTTCTCCAGCCACCCAATAATCCCGCTGTCATCGTTGTCATCGACGCAGTCTTGGACAAGAGGGACAGGCACAATCTTCTTCCCAACCAAACCAGAGAGATAATCAATGTACTTTCCTTCAACTTCTTTAAAAGTTTTGATCAGAACAATCTCTGATGATCGATCAAGGCACTCGAAACAGCGAGTCTTGTCCTTGTCGAGGTTTTTCGAAGGATTGAGCAAATGGGATACTTCTACTTTGTCATAATCACGAAGATAAATGGATGGAAAAGGAAAAGTGATAAGTGGGTCTTTATAGAGGTGGTGCATGAAGGCGGTCATGGTGACGCTGCTAGTGATGAAGTCCACCGCCGGAATACCATACTCGGCGGCGACCACCGGAGCCCAAGGCTGAAGAAAATCATAGATGAGGAGGTCTGGTTTGTGGGCTTTGAGGAGGAGAGAGAAGTTGGGTTCGGCGGAGTCAAAGGCCTTTTTGAGGGTGGGCATGAGGTGGGGAGGGAGGTCTTTGGTGGTGTGGTACGGCGGAGGGAGGTCAGGAAATGGTGGTACATGGAGTTCAATCAGTTGGATTGAGTTTGAGTACTTTTCAGAGAGTTTTCTTTTGATGGAACTGAGGTTGACTGGGGTGGAACATAGGTATATCTTGAAGTTTCTTGTTGAGAGCTTTTTGGCTAGCTCTAAGTAGGGTGAGATGTGGCCATGTGCTAGCCATGGGAACATAAAAATTGAGACGGTACTTTGTTTTGCTTCCATGATCTCTCTCTCTCTCAGGCTCTTACTGCAACTTTGTATTGTGATATCCCTTGTACATATAGAGAGGAATGACCCGTGAGATATGAGATTCCTACATTACCTAAAGTTGTAACTATTTTGGGACAAAAAGACAGTAATTTTTTTGAAACTTTCTACCTTTAAGGAACAATAATCAAGTAACAATGGAAAAGATCAACAAGAAAATAAATGGTAATTAAAATTGGCTTAATTTGTTAAGTTTGATTTCCGTTTTTTCATTGATAGTTCCCTACAAGCTAGGAGAAAATCAACTCGAAGATTTTCTTGGGTTAAAAAGAAAAATGGAATGTTTGTATGCATATTTAACCTTTCTTCATCAATACACCATGCTTCTTATTTTTCCTTCCTAATGGAATTTTAAGCTCCCAAAATTCTCATAGGAATAATTGGGTCTCTGTATTCTTTAATATTATTTTTGGAATGATTGTATAAACCCTAAACCCAAAAATAGAAGAAAAAACAGATTTTTCATATGATTTTTTTACAATTAGACACAAGTGTTTAGTGGAACCCATATTTTTGTGTATTAAATAAAAAATTCATTTATATATATCTGTACGTCATGGAGAAAATTAAAAGTGCATGCACAAAATCATTAAGTTAAAAAAAATCATGGCGGCAATTATGAATTTTTTAAGTTTGATGTAAACTTAAGTTAATTTCCCCACCTAAAGTTATGAAAAAAAATAAAGGAACATGAATAAAAACAAGCACAACATTCCCTAAAATGAATGAAATCTTTTTTGCCATTGTGAGTCTTTAACAGAATTCGAAGCTTAAAAATTTCCCAGAGTAATAATCGGATCTTTAATGCTTAATATTGGAGTGGAATTATGTCACACGGTATGTCAAAAGTAATTAATTTTTAATGAAGAATTGGCACAACTAATTAATTTTTAATCGTGAATTAGACTGCATTTGAAAATGGAGACAAAATTAATTTCCCCACCTAAAGTTATGAAAAAAAATAAAGGAACATGAATAAAAACAAGCACAACATTCCCTAAAATGAATGAAATCTTTTTTGCCATTGTGAGTCTTTAACAGAATTCGAAGCTTAAAAATTTCCCAGAGTAATAATCGGATCTTTAATGCTTAATATTGGAGTGGAATTATGTCACACGGTATGTCAAAAGTAATTAATTTTTAATGAAGAATTGGCACAACTAATTAATTTTTAATCGTGAATTAGAGTGTGTTTGAAAATGGAGACAAAAGATCTCTGTTTAGTTTTGGTAAGATTTGTCACAGTTGCCTTTCAAACTCCATATTTTTTTTCCATAAATAATAGTTCACATTCCCATCTTTTGATGTAATTAGTAACGGTTAAAAAAAAGAGTAATTTTCCTTAAAATTTCTACAATGCCTTTTTAATAAGATACCAATTATGGCTTGAAAATATATAGGTTTCGTTTGGAGCCACTTTTCAAAATCCTTCTTAAGTATAAAAATTCTTTTGAAATACTTTTTTATTTTTTGTTTTTATGTTTGATAAAATTATCGAAATGCATTCTTTCAAAAGTCACGAGTGGTGAAAGTCTATTTCAAAGGTGCTACGGAGAGTGGATTTTGAAATTCTATTAATCCACTTCCTACAAATTGAGCAAGGCCACTAAGAGACAATTCAAAATTACTTTTCATTTATTTAAAAAAGAAAAAGAAAAAAGTACACTCTTTGTTTATCTATTCATTTTTTTTTTATTTCATATTTTTTAACATTAGGTTTTATTTTACCAATTCATCCAAACAAACTATTTAAAGGGTCTCTCTTAATATTAAAATAACTATTGCATTAACCATTATAACAAATTAAATAAAATGAGACTAGTTATAATAATCAACCGCCATCTTTTAAAAAATTTCTTAAAGATGCTTTCAATAGATTCCAATCAGTTTCCCATAGAATCCTCATTTGTTGTAACAAGGGTGGAATGCGCAGTGAGAATGTATCAATTGTGATAGAGACCTCTAAATATACATGACCCTTACTTTCATCCTAACCACTCATAATGTAGAGTCCACACATACATAAGTGAACTCCACACGCACATCATGGGCCAAGATTAAATTGGGGATCATGGAACCCCTAAAAAAAGGGGTCCCAAACATTTCTCTTGCTCCTAAAATGGAATAGGTTTTGGGGTTTAAAACTCTTAAAGAGTGGACTGGAACAGGGCAACTATGCTTGCTCAGACACCTTTGGCCAATAAGTAAAAATAAAGGTTGATTCTTGGACTATGTCAAGAAGATTGTAAGTCATAAGGGACTTGGGTCTGCCTTTGATTAGGCTTAAAATTGGTTGGATAATTGGCATCTTTATACGAAAAATAAGACTCAACAAATTTATCTTTAAAATTTAAATTATAATTTAAAATTTATTTTTTATTTTAAATAGCTATCTCTTTAAATACACTATCGATTACACTTCTATTACAGACTTCTATTCTAACTGTATGAATACTACCTTAAAAAAAAAAAGAGTCAAAAGTGGAGCTAAATTTATCCCCCCCCAAAAAAAATGATAAATTATTAAATAGCCAATGAACTAGCTCAACAAATTTGTTAAGGTATTTGGAACTATAGGAGAGTAAAAATCATAAAGTTGGGTTGATTGGAATAGGCCCGAACAAGATCAAAATTAAATTTATTTATTTATTATTATTTATTTATTTATTTATTTATTTATTTATTATTATTATTTATTTATTTATTTTATTACTGCATTACAGAAAAGAATCTTGGAACGATGCACTGAGAAAATATACATGTTTTAGTTGAGAAAAATGATATACAAATAGAATTTAAAACCAGAATAATGTGATAATAGTATTCTTATAATTATGAACCATGATAGACATTTTAACTTACAAATGAGTATAGATATAAACGTGACATATCATACTGAATGAAATTCTTATATACAAAACTGAATGAAATTCTTATATACAAATTTTGTTTATATAATTTTACTTTTGAAAGAACAAATTCAAGGAGAGGAGTATTATAATGATTATTGACATTAATGGAATGGGCCAAAGAATGTTTGAGGAAGAAACCATGTCTGAGATCTCTCTATTAATAGTGTGTTGAAATTGGATCATTGGTGGAGCTGGTATTAGTATTGCACCATTTGATCTCTTCGTCTTGCATTCATGCTACGTTAAATTTTTCCCTATATTAGGAAGGAAAAAAATATTAGAAAGTGCAATGGTTGATTATAACTTTTGAAGTAGTAATTAACTTAAAAAAAAATTACTCATTTAGAATTTGAAATGTGTGAATCAATAGTAATGTTATGATGATGGTATTTATGTATCAAATTGTATTTACTATTACATTGGTTTAACGGGACACACCACTGTCTTTTACCAACACAGTAAAAACGCATCATATGGTAATGCATAAATGCAGTTCTTATAATATTATTAGTGGATCATATTCATGGTATTGCGCCCCACCAAGTTTAAATTTATAAGATAGGTTCAAATTTCAAACATTTTTTACAAAAAAAAAAAAAAAAGCTGAAGATGTATGTACTTGGAAGCAAGATTTGGGGCAAAAGATGATGGCATAATTGGAAGCCTTGCAAGTGAAAGCGCTGGTGTGATAACTCAGTTCCGTACCATGCTAATTGATCTTAATTAAGGTTGTGATCCTAAGTGAGCATTTGAGTATAAATTCATGTGCATAAGTTTGTAAATTTGTGTATTCAAGCTAGTTGGGTAATCAAGAACATAATTTGAGATGAAATTGAAGAATTGAAAGCTTATATGTACATGCATGCATAGAATTGCTATGAATTTGCATATTTGAGCATGAACTATGTAGAACAAATAGAATTGAGCGCAAAATCTCACATGTATACATGATTTTCATGAGCTTCATGATATTAAGTGTCATTTGTACCATTTGGAATAGAATTGGAGTCAAGAATCTACATGCATGCATGATTGATGTAGATATGGAATTGGTGTGAAGTTGAATGCACATGTTTTGGAACTATGTAAAGAATTCAAAATGATTTTTGGAAAAGGGACCATGAATTTGAGCAATTGGCCTTATATTGTTATTGTCCTCATGCTATGTAATATGTTTTCATGTTTTTGGTGTCCAAAACATGAGCCTTGCACCTTTCAATGTCAAGTTTGAAGCTCAAACAGCTTGTTGGAAAACCCAGAATTCGGCATGTCCACTCGAGCGGGGTAATGGCTGCTCAAGCGTGAAATGCTAGTTTCCAGAACTTTTGCAGACATGGACATCCGCTCGAGCGGGGATATTCACACTTGAGCGTTAGGCCATGTAGTTTGACTTTCAACTCGAGTGTCCGAAGTCACGCTCGAGCGTAAAAGTGAAGCAACCAGTACTTTTGCAGACCAAAGGGGGTCTGCTCGAGCGGCGGAATCCACGCTCGAGCGGGGAACCCTATTTCAGAAATTTTGAAAAGTGGTTTTATGTTTCATTTTCCGTTCTTTTTCATTTCTAAGCACTCTTAGGCATGCATTGAACATTATAAATGAGTTAGAAGAATAAGAAAGAAGCCTAAGAGGGATGTATGAATTAAGAACCGAATGAATCGTTTATGACCCATATGTGTTATGTAATGTGTAGAGTCGAGCTCAAGGGTGAATCCACCGGCAAAACACTGTGGGTAATATCTTAGTAAAAATATTTTCAAGTATGTTACTTTCCAAATGCTACTTCTGCATAAGCTTCATGGATTTGTTGATTTGAAATATGAATGAGTATTCTATATGCCTAATTTTGTATAAGGCCGTTTGATACGTTTGATATATCCGAATTAGGCCTAAGGCCATTTGCCGCTTGATACGTTTGATATATCCGAATTAGGCCTAAGGCCATTTGCCACTTGATACGTTTGATATATCCGAATTAGGCCTAAGGCCGTTTGCCGCTTGATACGTTTGATATGTTCGAATTGGGCCTAAGGCTGTTTGCCATTT